CACTCTCTTGTGGCTGGGCAAGCCAGGAAGGTCGCGGGTCCAGGGCCTGAACGAGCCCTGCACTCCACTGGCACGGTGGCGAACAGCGGCATGTGTCGGCGGCTGCCAGGTTTCGCAATCGGGCCCGCCGCCACATGTAAACGCGGAGCGTTTGTTTTAGGCGTGCCGTAGAACGTGCGACGGAATGCCGCGCGTAATTATAGTCTCGCAGAGCCGGTTGGCGCGTGTGAGGACAGGGGGCGACGAGCAGTTGGTGCGCGTTCGAGCACGCTCGACTTCACTCCGTACGTGCAGTTAACATCTCGCCACCGTGGCGAGATGTTAACTCCCTCGCCTGGTGTGCGGGAGGTCGTGGGTTCGATCCCTGCTCTGACGCCTGCTGCTGTGTATTTGGAGTTTGCGGTGTCTTTCTCCCAGTGGTTGCGTGGATTTTTATCCGGATCCTCCCTCCCACATTTAGAATCAACATCACGCGTTTTAGAGCCTATAAATTTACACGCGATGATGATAAGCCACTTTTGTTGAGCCACATAGCTCGGTGGGCCTTACCTGGTGAAATTAACATTGTTGTTGGGTACGATTCGATGAATGATGAAATTTAATGAATTGATGTCGCTCGACTTGAGCAAACTAAGCAAAGTTTGTGAGCCCCAAGGACCTAAAGGAGGTGAAGGGGGGGCTGGTTGTGAACCAAATATCAGCTCAGGTTACGACAGCCAGTGATTAATACGGGGCTCAAGAGTCTATTAGCGAGTTGATGCTTGCAGCCCGATCTCCAAATGACTGTATAAAAAAAACATTGCGTAATATTTGGATTGATTCCAGATCCAAGAATTGTTTTTTTAGAAATAAGTTTGACCACCATGCCACGGAAAATGACTCCGTGGCAGGGCGTGTGGAAAAGTGTTTCCTTCCCGGCCCCACCCCCCCCAGCATGAATCAGATGGCGCTTGAAGGGAACTCTGAAGTAGCTCTGTGACACCCGCTTCTGCGCGCCCTGTTCTCTTAAACGTGGGGGAAGGTTGCACTGCTGCGCTAGAGATCCGAATGCATTGCTCGTCTCGTGGGGCCTCTCGCATGGATGCAGTGAGTGGATGAGTGGAGCCCTCCGATGGGTTTTGGGTTGTACCGTGGGTTTGGCGTGACGACGACCCAGCACGGCTTCTCAACCACTGTGGCATGGCGGCCCCCCGCCTTCGAAGACCGCTGGCCCTGCGTCCCCTTACCTCCCTCCCCCACCGCCCCCCTCCCCGCCCAGGTTACTGAGGCCACAACGATACACACGGAGATCACGTGTCCGTGCCTCCTAGGCAACGCGGTATTTGGAAGGCATTAGAATTCAAGTGTTTCGTGTCGTGGAAGGCTTTCGTTCCACGTTGTGCATTTCGTGCCTTTCTGGCGCTGTACCGTGGCGCTGACGCTCTCCCGCGTGCATTATAAATTTCTCCTGCACGGTATTCGTGCCGCAGTTGGTGCCCGCAACCCCCCCGCCGCCGCCCCCCTTCGTGCCCCCCCCCCCACACTGCTGTTGCACAAATCGCAATTCCGTAGGCGTTTAGCGGCAGCCGCTGAGCGACGAGCGAACTTCCAGGGGATGTCTCGATGCTCAGGGCGGCGGTGCGCTGGCCCGCCCCGAGGTCGTGAGACGACGCCACCACCGCTGGCGGTAACGCGGACAGCAATTGGAGGGGTAGGGGGGTTGGAAATGACGGGAAAAAAAGGAAGTTAGTCAGCTGTTTGGAAGCGGTGAGCCGTGTTTGACTTGCGTGTGAACCGACTAATGGGCAAACGGTCGATCAGGTTCACGATATCGGATTTTGGGTTCGATCGCCGTAAATATTTACCCAATAGACCTATATCATGGATGATATTGGTCGCAAAAGCCGACGTGTCGATCAGGTTCTGGAACTCTGTATTGTCATCCCACCTCTCCGAGTCGATACTTGGTGAAGGCGCTGTGCTGCCGCAGTTTAGTTCACGCGAGCGCTCTTACGCGTGACTGTCATGTAGTTAGAGGGCCAGATATGCAAGAAAAACCACAAATGTTTGCCAATGTTTATATGTGAGTGGACGTCAGCCCACGTAGCCACAGAGCCATGTGGAACGGGTTCACTAATCGCCGACTCGGAGCCAGAATGATAGTGCATGGTACACCCCGGATGAGTGCAAGTCCTTCCTGAATTCCTAGTTCTGTCATTCTTAGGACTCGCCCATTACAGTAATCTCGTTGCTGCAAGTGAACGTACGTACGTTGAACTTCCAGCCGTGCTTATCGGAGGTGCGAAACCGCACACGAGCAGTTGAGAGGCCGAGTGACGCTGACGTGTGTTTGCACGAGTTTGAAACTTGCGGTTATTGCGAATATCCTCACCATGGCACTAGAGCTATAGGCTCTTGTCATTCGACGTAACCACCCCATATTCACAGTGACAGTAACCTTTATCGAGTGGAATAAATTGGTTTAACACGAGGCTCAACACCTAATGAGAGTTACAATACACTAATTGCAGAGACATGAATGCATGGTGACTGAAACCATCAAGGATGTACCACTATTACGCAGTATGGCAGGATATAGACATCGCATAGCCCAAATCAATGTCATTACCAAAGAAACAAGAACAACCTCGCAACAACCAGTCACATTTACTCATGTGACCACCAAGCAAGCAAAAATTCCGTAAAACACAAATAAAGACAATCAGGATTCAACGGCTTCCCCACAGAACAAATCTAAAGCACTTCGTCTAAAAATCTAAACATCACAAGAGAACGTTTAAATAAATCTTAGATGATGCTACGTTACGTGCTAGCTCGTTTTACTTCAGTTAGCTAACTGGCCCTCCGATCACGCCACACGAACAAGGCTAACGTAGGCGGCTAGGCCAGCTAGAAGGCTCCGGCGTGTCAAAGAATAGGCCCAACATGGCAAACTCGACATCTGATTGGTTAAAGAAGATGACAATCAACAGCATCGTCCCCATTTGCGTCAACAGCAGAGGGGATTCACTCGACATTCTGAAGGCCTCGGTAGATTTTTCACTCAGAGGCGTAGACGGCACAGGTGGAAAATCTGATTGGAGAAAAGCTCAAATTTATGAGCTGCACTGGAAGCAGCGCAACTGAGGGAAAGAGTAGCAATGTTATGACGTTAATAGACCGTGGTTGTTGTTTGACTTGCATCCCACTGGGGTTTTTGCACATTTTTGTGTACGGTGCTTTTTCTGCAATATTTTGCTGTCTTTTCTTGGATTTTCTGTTTGCACTCAGTCACATATTCACTTTAAGATGTTTTTTTGTTCGTGTTTTTGTTTTTTGTTTGTTGCGGTTGCACCCGATTCAAGAGCCGAATGGCTCACAGGGCTATACCTAATAAATGAACTTGAACTTGACTGATGGGAACGAACTTTGTGAAATACATAAGGCATTAATACAAATATATATTACATTATAAAAACTAAATTTTCTGATTCTGACAATCTCTAGGCCAGCAGAGAAGTCCTTACTGGTCCTGACGGTCCGCCTCTGCTCGTCATTCACAGACGCGATTTGAGTTAGCAAGTTCAGTGGTCAAGTTTCTTGGTCTCCGCTCAAAGTCTCACCACTGACTGGGCACTGGGACATCTACCGCCGTATTGAATTCGGTTTGGCACCTCAGTTGGTCAAATAATCTAACCACAACCCCACTATCCACACGGCATGGGGAGATGCCCCCCTCATCCGGCAGTTGATTTGATGAAAGGGCCTTACGTGTATTTAATTTTTGTCACATTCCAGCTCCGAGAATATCAAGAAACTAAATCCTGTTAGTTTTGGCTGTTGACAAATGGTTATGTTGCACGTTTTATCACAGGTTTCCTTTTTGGTATCATAGCATGATCCATAATGTTTCTTTTGGTGTCATAGCATGATTCATCATAGGTTTCATCGTGTGAATAAAATGTAGTGCCATATACCCTCCTCCACCCGACACGGCCAATGAATAAACGCGTCGCGTGAATAGTTTTTTCTTAATTCGCTCTTCTTATCAACGTGTTAGTTGGCTGTGTCGGGTGGGTGGAGAAGGAGACTTTGCGACGCGCATTTTGTCTCCACGACGACCTACAACGCAAACAAGAGCGCGATTTGCGTGCGCGAGCGTGTGTGAGTGTGTGTGAGTGTGGATCTTTGTCTTTGTGCGAGGAGCGGGGGTGTTGCAGTTAGCGCACTGCCCTGACGAACCCGTCAACCCGAGTTCGATGCCCGCTCACGGCCAACACCGGTGACGATTATCTGAACCGCTCCTGGGCTTCCCCTGGGTCGACTCGGCCTCAAATGAGTACCCGGTGCGGAGTGTAAACATCGCCATTAGGGAGACAAAGGCGGCCGGGCGTGGTGTTGGCGACCCATGCCCTCGTGTACCGTGCCGGCCTTCATAGGTGCTCGCTAACAGCACTCGCCCCAACACTGTTAAAGGCTACACGGGGGATCTTTGTCTTTGTGAGCCTCCCGTGTAGCAGTGTGTTGGTGGTGGGGGGGGGTAAGTGCGCCCCCTGCTGTGGTGTAAAGTTTAACACAAGCGGCAAATTGAAGGGAATTTTTTTCCCCGTGCTTTGCGCAGTCTGCGAATGAAGAAAAAAACCGGCCGTGCGCGTCAATTTCTGGTCGTCGATTTAATTTTGGCAAAAACAAAAATTCCAACAAAACGTCTTTTACGACTGTCGTGCAAATGATCCATTTCCCTCGGTGGCAGGGCGTGTTGGACAGCGCGGTACTCTTTGGAGGAAAAAGGTCGCTTGAAGGGCACTCCGAATTAGCTCTCTGATAGCCAACTTCTGCGGCCGTTCTCTGGCACGGGGACGTTGCTCTGCCGAGTGAGATTTCCCTGTGGATCGTCCTTGAGATGACGCTCGGAGTGCAATCGGTGGAGGGACTGTACAACGAGGAGGGGAGGGGGGGTGGAAAAAGACGGTGGGAATCCGCCTAACGCTGTTGCTTTTGCGCGTTTTTCTCTTTCGCAGAAACGAGCCGGCAGTTTGGGAACGAGTCGAGCAAGCTTCTAGGTACCGCGCACGCAACACTGCCGCACGCCGTCATCGGCCATGTTCTGTCCACTGCTGCTCGAGGGGCTGGCCACTGCTTTCGCCGTTTCTCGTGCTCCTGCGATGCCCACCATCCGTCTCGTTCCCGCGCATGAACCGATCTCGTTGCTCCATCTCCGACGGTGCCTTCCTGTCCGGCGAGCCCTCTCCCTTTGGGCTGTGATTCCATTGCGAATCTCTTCCATCGCCCGTCATCATCATCATCATCCGTCATCGTTTTCACCGCGTCGCACGGCGCTTTCAGATGCGCTTCTGCGGCCGTCTGGAACGCGCTCTTCCCTTCGATATTAGGAAGCCACTGGGGCTATGCCACTTTTAAATCGTCTAGATTGACAACTCTTTTTTTTAGAACTGCTTTTTTGTGTCTAGTTTGTTGTATTTCCACCACACCTCCGATTCGCTCGGTTGGCTACGTACGGCGCGAAAGCTTTCCAGACGGCCGTCTGAGCGCATGTGAAAGTGCCGCGCGATGATGTGGTGATCCGTGTTTGTCGTTGGATGGGCAGTCAGAAGCCGCCGCTGCGGGGTTGTTGAGAGGGGAGAGCAAAGCAGGGGATGAGTCCATGGGGAATCTTGAAGAGAGGGGGTGTGAGGGCATTCCTGTCAACCCCTTGTCAGTGCCCTACCTTACTACAGACCAATTCAGACCTTATTGGTCACGCCGTGCCCCTTTATAAATCTCAACGTTCATCCTACAAAGTTCCATCACAAGCGAGAAACACAAACAAATAGACAATCACCACTATTACACTCACCACTTGTACACTCACCACTAGTACACTCACCACCACTACACTCGCCGCCACTACACTTACCACCACAAACCTGTCAACCCCTTATCAATGTCCTACCTTACTACAGACCATTTAAGACTTTAATGGTCACCCCGTGCCCTTATAAAGCTCAACGTTCATCCTACAAAGTTCCATCACATGGGAGGAACACAAAAGAATAGACACATTTTTTTTGTTTTGCCCGTATTGAAACAGCTGTACGCCCTATGGATCTGAACTCAATTTCCGCATGGACCTGAACTCAATTTCCCCGTACAAGAATGCGGGCTAAACCGTATGGGTTGACATCTGTACGAGGGTGATTTCATCTGGTATCTGGTATCTGGTGCCAGATTTGGAAGCCATCGGGACATAATCGGAATGATTTTCAAATGTTTCACTCCAGATAAATCCCCATGAGATGGAACATCTCACAATAACGTTTTTGCAGGATGGGTCGCGTCAATGTAACTGTGCTGTACACACCCACCACCTCCACCCGGCACAGCCCATTAGTAAGGTTTGTCACGTGGACAAAACGTGTCACTTAGTTTTTGCAAAAGCCACAACGTTTATAATTGAGTTAACGTCGTTTCGCTGGTGATTTACGACCAGCTTCATTGTGCGTTTTGCCAGAAGCATGAAGATGTCCTCCTGTATTCGGTCGTGTGGAGGTGGGTGTACGCACTGCCGGATGATCCTAGTAGCAAAAGTAGCTACATATGTAGCTACGGGCCCAACTCTTTCAAGGGTCCCGCGCTGAATGCTTTCAAGCTATCAATTCCGGCTCAGTGATTCTGCACTTCAAACTTGATTTGAAGCTTTCGTTACTGCAGGAATTCATACTCTTTGATTCTTTCGGTAAAGTCACGTAGGTAGAAAAATAAATAATAGATCACGGCGTTGGGGGCCCTTGTCCGTGCACCTCTGGGAAGATGTTTCCACGTTAGTGGGGCAGTTCCGTGTCCCGGCTAGCAGGCTAGCAAGCGAGCGAGTGAGTGAGTGAATGCGTGCCTCTGTTGTTATTGTTGTTTGGGCTTTTGTGGCTATGCGGTCGCACGCACAGAATACAAACGGCGCCACAGCTTGGCCCTCTAATGCGCGGATTTTCCCACGTGCGTGCGTCCCGTGCGTGCGTTCCAGCGGGCGGGCCGGTAACGTGGCTCCCGCGCAGCTGCTTGGCTTGCGTGAGAGTTTGGAGCGGCGAGCCCGGGCGGACGCCGCCGTGAGTTGTTTACGTGAAAGTGACGCGCGCGGCGGGGCCAACAAAACCCTCGCCAGGTATTGTGGAATTGTTCTCCTGGCTGAAGCTGGACACCCCCCGCTTCCAGGGGGAAGCGAGGCTCCTATGCCAGCCCCCCCCCCTCCCCAGGCACCGCGCTCTCTAAACAATGCAGCGCCCGCAGGTCGATGTTAATCCGGTACAAACCAACGCAGACCGGACCTGGCGGGGGGACAGCCTTGGTTAGCGATCCCAAGTCTGTCTGCGTGTGCGTGCCGACACGGCGGCGTGGGCGAGAGTTCGCGAGCAGATGTACGGCGAGCTCTCCCTGGCAGAGAGGTTGGCGCCGTTGCGCTATGAACCTGGCGGACCTGGGTTCGATTGTCTGGGTTCCATTCCCTGGGTTCGGTTGCCGGCCACGACGAACATCAGTGGCGAGCGGTGTGAGGATTTGTCGACTCCCCGAGTGCATTCTGCCAACATTGTCACTGGGGAGACAAAGGCAGCCAGCCAGGAGTGGTGCTGGCCACACTAAATCCTCTTTCACCGGGCTGGCCTTAATCATCACCACCATCAACTAATCATCGTACAAAGACAATGGTCACCGCGTTGCACACTTTCAGAAGGGCTTCTGCGGCCACCTTCCGATATTAGGAAGCTACTGGGAGCTATTAGGAAGCTACTGGGAGCTTTTAAATCATCATCTAGATTGAAAATCTATTTCTTGGGAACTGTTTTTTGTATTTAGTTTGTTGTGGTTCCCCCGCACCTCCAATTAGCGCTACGTACGGTGCGAAAGAAGTTCAACATGCATGCATACGTACAATCCACTGTTGGATGAATGCCCCCCCTCCCTTCATCCAGCGGTATATTAGACCCCCCCAGCGATGTAACAATCCGCCGCTCCATCTCCGCGGCGGACGTTCCCCCGGGCGCGTTCCCGACCTTTTGGCTGCCGCCACCCAGTTGTTATTCCCGACCGCCGGCCCCCGCCACCGCGGCTTCCAGCGACCTGCCGACATCACGGGTCACTACGACGTCCGATGGGAACGCAGGGAAAGGAGCGTTGGGGAATGCAGCGGGCGGGATTTGTTGCCAGCCGTGTGCCGGCTACCGTCGAACCGATGGTGAACCCAATTTATACTACCGGGTGAACCGATGCAGCGGGGCGACCGATTTTCATAATCAGAATCGGACCAGAATATTTACACCGGAGGAATCCGACGAGCTATGAAGCTCTTTTTCACGGAATTTCCAGTAAGGAGAGGTCACGAGCGGACTCGCGGTTTGTCATCGCCACGCGCTTGCTGGGTTCCGTGCGCGCGGTGGTTATTGGGAAACAGGATCGGTTAACTTCGGTGGCGCCAAAGGCACATTCTGTCCGCGGGGCAACGGCGACGGTTAAAATTAGGCCGCAAAATCTTTTTGAAGGCTGTAGCTTTGGCAGGCGCATGGTGCCCGGCACCGCGGGTTGCTACTTGCGCGCTCGGATTTGCCGTGGGCTGGTGCCTCGCAGGTGGAGCGGCGGCGCAGCTCCACGAACCCGCGAAACGTGTTGGTCGCGCGGCCTCAAAAATGATGAAGTCGTCGCGCTTGTTGCACACAAAGCGTTTGGCACAAATGAGAAGCACAAGGAGGATAAACCTTGATCACGTGAACTCCGGTCATCATCCTCGCAGCAGCAGCAGCGGCGGTTTATGGCTGGCCATCGAACAAAATTGGTGGTCACCGCATCGCGCGGCGCTTTCAGATGCGCTTCTGCGGCCGTCTGGAACGCTCTTCCCTTCTGATATTAGGACGCCACCGGGCTGCTACGTACTTTTATTAAATATAGATTGACAAACTCATTTCTTTAGAGCTGCTTTTTTGAGTTTAGTTTGTTGTCCTTCCCCCCCGCACCTACGTACGGTGCGAAAGAAGTTCAACATACGTACGTACTAAGTCGACCGCCACCAGACCAGGGTGTGAACTCGCAACCTTCCAACTGCGAGCCGCGCGCGCAACACACGCTGCCACTGAACCGCTCAAATCTTTATCCCTAAAAATGTCAAATTCCTTCCCGATCGATTCCATTCCTTCGACTGGTTCAACTAAGCGCGCGAATTGTTGGTGTGGTTGTTTTTTTCTCCTCTCTCTCTGCATTTGTCGTCACGTTTTTTTTCTCCTTTCGAGATTTCCAGGGGAAAACAACGGAACCACCTGGAACAAGTAAAGGGTTAATGATTAAAATGGGGGGGGCCCGCAGGTGTAGTAGGTGTACAGGGGTGGGGGGGGGGGGCGTTTTATAGGCAAGCACGCAGGGCGGGCGAGAACAGTCGACAGGGCCGCCCGCTATGACCACCCGACGCGTCTGCGAATGCCACCTCCTATACGGTAACGCGCGAGACGCGTACGTCCGTGCGGTGCGTTGGTGGTGGTGCAGCGACGCGTGCGCGTTGTACGTGTCTGTGTGGGGAGCGGTGGTGTAGCGGTTAGCGCGCTACGCTGCGCTATGAACCTGGCGACCCGGGTTCGATTCCCGCTCACGGCCAACATCAGTAACGATTATCTGAACCGGTCCTGGGCCTCCCCTCGGGCGTGGTGCTGGCCACCCACCCCCTCGTGTACCGTTCCGGCCTTCATAGGTGCTCGCTAACAGCACTTGCCCATACAGTCTGTTAAGGCTATACGGGGGATCTTTGTCTTTGTGTGTGTACTTCGCACCGTACGTAGCCAAGCGTGCTAATCGGAGGTGCGGGGGAGAAGCACAACAAATTTTTACGCAAAAAAAGGAAGTGAGTTTTCAAGAATTGCTTGAAGGAGTTGGCGTAGCGGTGGGCACGCTCGTGCCATGATCCCGGGCCACGGCTAACATCGGCGGCGGGTGAAATCCGAACGCTATGTCCTGGGGACGCCCTTCCCTAGGTCGACTCTGCCTTGAAGGCGTACCTGGCGGCACAGCCGCGTGACACATCAGCGCTGGGCGTGGCGCTGGCCACGCCACCCTCTCGCGCTCCGCGCTGCCCTGCACGGGTGCTCCGCTAACAGCGCTGGGCCACCGAACGGTCTGGGAAAGGCTGCACGCGAGCTATTCCGGCGTTAGTACGTTGTGTACAATCGACAAAAATAACCGTTGGCAAAAATCAGCTGTTGGGGGTTTGTTTTGGATGGGTGCCCCCACGGTGGTTCTCATTGTCCTGATGGAGCCTACGTAGAGGTTTCCGGTTGCTGGGCTGCAGTCCCCAGGGGGGGGGGGGGTTGAGGCGGTTGGCACCATGGGAGCGAGCGGTGAAGACCGAGTCGGTTCTTACGGACGTCGATTGGTCGTTGCCGTCGCGGATTTTGCGGCGACGCGGCGGGTAGAGAGGGGCGGCTCGCCGGTGGAAGGATACGAGTTCAAATCCCGATTGGCAGCGTTGAGTCGGCCCATCATCCCCTCCCTCCGGTGTCTATAAAACGGGTACCACATTGTGGCGAAGTTAACTGGTTGTATGAGCATATTTTTTACTTTTGTCGCACCGTACGTAAGGGAACCGTGCTAATTGGAGGCCCTCTGGATGGACGTGCCCCCACCATAGAAATGTGGAATTTCCACCACTGGCTCGGTGCTGTCAACGGGATATGAGCGCCGTCTTAATGCTCATTTAGAGCAGATTATTATTTTGACTTTCGATTTTCTCTGTGTGCTAATGCGAGAGTGAAGTTAATCCACTTAATTCTATGTGACGGTGCATCCATAATGCGTTTGCGATTAGCGTTAAGCATCTTAGCTGCGGGATTTGGGATTAATTCTGCTCTTGAGTTTGGCCCTCGTTAATATTCTCACAAAAAAATCGTAAATCTGAGTTTCTTTTATCCGGGAAAGCCTCGCCGACTTTCGGGATTCTTCGCCGGCAAGGGCCCGGCCACGTTGGGATGTTCGGCATGTTTTGCTTCTCGCTGGAGGATTGCCGAGAAAAGCCCACGGATAGATACAAAGGTGCAGTCGAGGGGACATCACCACGGCCTTGCCGTGGCGGTCCGCACACCGGACTTTTGATCCCCTGGTTCGCCGCTGCGGCTGTTCACCCAGCGGGTATCAATTGGGTTCGCCATCGGTTGGGCGTCGGTCGTGGTGGAGGTAAAGTGCAGGTGCGCCCGCCACTTCCGAGACGTATGGCCGGCGTGGAAGAGTAGGCCAAATACCCTCTACGGGAGGCTCTCTGGAGCTCCGTCTGGTGGAGGAACATGGCGACGGAGGTGATGCGAGCCGGCAATTGCAAAGTTAACACTCAAAGGTCCAACTCCCGACCACCTTGCAGCCGGTGCGATTGGGAATTTAACAAACCCGTGTGATCCAGCAACCCCGGTTTCCAAAGCGATGCACTGAAAACACGGCACACTGCTCAGCATTGGGTGCTGCGTGGCGCTGCTGCTGCTGCTGCCACTCGCCAACTTTCACCTGTACGGGGGTTGAGTGTTACCTCCCCTCGCATGCGTGAGTTTTCTCCCGGGTACTCCGGTAAACTCCCACACGTGTAAACGTCTCGTTAACAGAGTTGGCCAATACACCACAGAGCTGGGGTGATTCTTGGCTGCCTTGCCGTTCTCCCCGCGGCAAAGCGCGCCGCGTTTCGAACTCGACGGCGATTTGCGATGCAGTTTGCGTGAATAGCGCTTTGGCGTTCGAAAACGTTCGCTCGCCGGTTCCTCCTGTGTCGTGTGCCCGCGTGTGTGTGCATGCGTGCGTGTGTGTGTGCGTGCGTGTGTGTGCGTGTGTGTGCGTGCGTGTGTGCGTGTGTGACCAAAGGTGATGGCCAGGTGGACAACAGCCTCCTCAACAATGGCGACATGGAGCAGGCCAACTCCTACTACGACAAGAACATGGCCCTCTTCGAGGTGAGCGTCCCCCTCTTTTAGCGTGGGCACCAGCGTGGGCACCCATGTAGGCGCTCCCCGCCCCCCACCCCCCCCCCCCCCCCCCCCCCCCCCCCCCCCCCCCCCCCCCCCCCCCGATGAATCCTGCCGGTGTAATAGCCATGACAATCTGCGCCCTCCGCTTCTCAACGTACGTTCAAGATCTCCCGACGTCGTTGTGCGCAATAGTCGGTCATCGTGTGCCAGGGTCTGGGTCCAAGAATATAATCGATAGTGGCCGTACACGGCAGCAATCGCCGCCGCCCGCCACGGGCAACGGACCCGTGCCCCCAGGCTCCCTCCCGCACACGAGACTCTCTCCCCCCGGCCTCTTGGGTTTCCCCTCCCGGTGGAACGAGCTCTCCGCGTGTGCGCGGTGTTGCGGAGCGCAGGAGGAGATGGACACGAGGCCCATGGTGTCGTCGCTCCTCAACCGCCTGGCGAACTACACGAACCTGCCGCAGGGCGCCCGCGAGCACGAGGAGGCCGAGAACATGGACAAGCGCAAGGCCATCAAGGTGAGGCCGCACTCGGGCCCACTCGGCCGGTGGTCCACACACTGCCGGATGAGGGCCCCCCCCAGGCCCCCCCCCCCCAACTCCCCCCTTTCCACCTGCCCCCCACCACCACGCCACGCAAGTAATTGCAAGGCTGCTCCTTTAGTTTTATATGTCATTCTTCCGTCGCTATAACTACCGTGGTTCCTGTGAGCTTCAGCACAACACCCTCACACACACACCCACTCACCCACTCATCCACTCACCCACTCATCCACCCACCCACTCACTCACCCACCCGCACACTCACCCACTCATCCACCCACCCACACACTCACCCACCCACACACTCACCCACCCACACACTCACCCACACACTCACCCACTCATCCACCCACCCACACACTCACCCACTCATCCACCCACCCACACACTCACCCACCCACACACTCACCCACTCATCCACCCACCCACACACTCACCCACCCACACACTCACCCACTCATCCACCCACCCACACACTCACCCACCCACACACTCACCCACTCATCCACCCACCCACACACTCACCCACCCACACACTCACTCACTAACCCACCTACTCACTCACTCAACCACCACACACTCACCCACTGTATCACCCACCCACACACTCACCCACACACTCACCCACTCATCCACCCACACACTCACCCACTCATCCACCCACCCACACACTCACCCACCCACACACTCACCCACTCATCCACCCACCCACACACTCACCCACCCACACACTCACCCACACACTCACTCACTAACCCACCTACTCACCCACTCACACACTGCATGTCACAACACACTCATCCACTCACTCACTCAACCACCCACACACTCACCCACTGTATCACCCACCCACACACTCACTCACTAACCCACCTACTCACCCACTCACACACTCCATGTCACAACACACTCATCCACTCGCTCACCCACCCACACACTCACCCACTCACCACACTGCACGTCAAAACAGTTTTATTTCCGCATCTTCCCTCGCACTGCTCCGCTTTATAATTCCTTCCAATCATCTCTTAACCTTGGTTAAAAAAAAACACACTTTAGAGATACAACTATGGGACGGAGGCATAGTCTATTCTTTTTTTTATTTCTGCACAACCAAGCTTCATGATGACGACGCGGTGCTCCGTCCGTTTGCCCGCTGGTGCACCCCCCGTGCCCAGCGGGCTGAACCCCGCTTAGCTCGCGGCGAACCCGACGAGATGGGGCGTGTGGCGTGTGCCTGGCGGTCGTCTCAGCCGCCGTCGGACTCGCTTCGTAGACGCGAGGCCGGGAGCCGTGCGCGAGTGCTCCCCTCAACCCCCCCCCCCGCCCCCCCCCCCCCCCTCATGCCTTGACACGCCACCCCCCCCCGCCCTTCTTCTCCTTTCCTTTCCCCACAGTCCCCCAAGATGGGCACCTTCATGGGCGTCTACCTGCCGTGCCTGCAGAACATCTTCGGCGTGATCCTCTTCCTGCGCCTCACCTGGGTCGTGGGCACCGCCGGCGTCTTTGAGGCCTTCGCCATCGTCCTGCTGTGCTGCTGCTGCGTGAGCGCCGCCACTGCCGCCACTAGCGCCGCCGCCACTAGCGCCACTGCCGCCACTAGCGCCGCCGCCGCCACTAGCGCCACTGCCGCCACTAGCGCCACCGCCGCCGCCACTGCCGCCACTCTCAATAATTTCCAGATTTTATTTTTCTGCTGTACATTTCCACATGATAAGCCGCTTTCTTGTTGAGCTGTCGTCGTTCGTGGCCGGGTCGTTTCTGAGACAAGAAGTGAATGCCGCGGTGGGCTTTACCTGGTAAGATAAAAATATTGTATTTTTACTTGTATATTTTTAAGCGATTTGTTTACCTTTCCGATACTTTGCACTCCTATCGTGTTTGTTGTATTGTTTGTTGTTGTCACGTTCCGACCCCTACTGGACATCTGAGCTTCATAGCTCATCGGATTCCTCCAGTATAACTAAAGATGCTGATTCTGAATAACGATGGGCGAAAAAAAAACGAGACCTCGTGCGTTCGCGTGGATTCTCTTAACCGCCGTTCACCAGCGGTTACGTATGCACGCGAAACTTCTCTCGCAGCGCTTAGCCAACCGCGTCAATCGGAGGTGCGGATTGGGCGTTGCTCCTGGTCGTGTGCCGAGTGCGTTCGAACTCGTGGCCCGGCTAAGCTGTAGGTCGAGTGCTCTGACCGTGAGCGGTGAGCCGACGGCAATGACTCGGATCCTCTGCCCCCCCGCAGACGATGCTCACGGCCATCTCCATGAGCGCCATCGCGACCAACGGAGTCGTGCCAGGTAAGCGCGCGCCCCCGGCGCTTCTCTCTCTCGCCCTCCTTACAGGGGCCTTTTCTCTGACACGGGGTGGTGATCTTCTCGCTCCCAACGCTCCCTGATATATTCGGGCCTGGCTGTCCCTGGGCAGTCCCTCCAGAAAAACGCGATTATGCGATCGCAAGATTTCACGCAAAATCAGCCAAAGTCCGCATATTTATGCGGGGGGCGCGTTTTTTCAAATACGCCGCACTTTCGCCGCATAAATTGCAGATTTCCGCGCGCAAAATATGCGGGCTTGCATGATTTCATAATCCCCGCATTTTCGTTGCAAAAAGTCACATATATCTTAGCAGAAAGTTGAAAAATGTTGCGTTTACTTCACACAAGCGCAGCCATTTCCCCTGTTGCCATGGGAACGTTATGAAGTGACGTCACTCATTACGCGACATCATTGAAAAGCTGTAAACCCCGCGATGCCAATGAAACCATGATGAAGCCCGCAAATCTTTCTCATTTGCCAACAAACATAAGCGCAAAAGACCGCGCAAAGCAGTTCCTCAGTGTGTTACATGACAGTGGGGGCAAATTATTTTGCATAGCTACCTCTGTAAAACAGGAAGCACACATTTTATTTTTTAATATTTTATTTATTCATTTTTACAGAAGTTGTAGCATATTCATTTTGTAAAGCTACAGAACTTGTTCGACTCAATGTTTTGTAAGTTTGAGCCATCTGTTTGTTAAGGTCTGAAATAAAACAAGATGAGAACTTAAATATTCCCAGCACTTTCTGTGATGTAGTATGCTTGCTTATCATAGGAAGTAATAAGAAATGACTCTTTACATTAAAGTAGTAGCCTAGTGAATAGGGTGTTGGGGGAATCACTTTTTTTTCTCTTTTTCATCAAACCGCAGTTTTTGCAAGTTCCCGCAATTTAATCGCATAAAATTGCATAAATATCCCGCATATTCTATCGCATTTTTTAAGAAAACGTGCTGCATAATCAACGATTTTTGCCCGCAACAATCACCAAAAAACTCCGCGTTTTTCTGGAGGGACTGCCTGGGGCAAGAGAGGATGGTTTTTGGATTCAACGGATTTTTTTGTCACAAACGTGTTTGGTAGGTTTGCGGTATATATTTTTCACGCGTCGGTGCGCGTTGGCAAAAGCGGGCGTCTGCGCCATCGATTTGCTGTGTGACGTAAAAAAAGTAATCAATAAATATTATATATATTGCCGGGGGGGTGGGGGAGGGGAAAACGCCGAGACGCATGGGCGACGTCGTCATTTCGCTCGTCCTCGGCGGGGGTCGTTCGATTTTCGTCTCCCGGTTGAGAACCGATGGAGGCCGACTGACCGCCGCTCGCCCCGCAGCCGGCGGCTCGTACTACATGATCTCGCGAGCGCTGGGCCCCGAGTTTGGCGGCGCCGTGGGGCTCTGCTTCTACCTGGGCACCACCTTCGCCGCCGCCATGTACATCCTGGGCGCCGTCGAGATCCTGCTGGTGAGGTGGACGCGCTCCCCCCTCTCTGCCCCCCCCGCCGCCCCCAACCCCCCCTCAGCCCTACCCCAGCACCACCGCGAGTCATCCGAGTTGCGGTTTCTATCGCGCGCGCCCGCCGGTTTGGCCACCGGCTTACTCCCCGTAGCCCCACGTGCCCAACGCCCAACGGTGACCCCCGTAGCCCCCGTAGCCCCCGTAGCCCCGTAGCCCCATAGCCCCCGCGTGCCCAACGCGCCTGCAAAGGATTTGCTTTGCCGGCGCTTCACCGTTCGCAATCACAGACGACGCGACGTCGTGATGCACGTTGTGCACGTACATACGTACCTTTGTTGAACGTCTTTCGCACCGTACGTAGCTAACCATACTCATCCGAGGTACGGGGGAAGGACAACAGACTTAACACTAAAAGCAATTCTACACAAATGAGTTTGTCAATCTAGATGATGATTTAAAAGTGCATAGCTCTGGTGGTTTCCTGATATCGGAAGGAAGAGCGTTCCAGACGGCCACAGAAGTGCATCTGTAATCTCGCGATGCGGTGGCCGTCTTTGTTCGACGGCTGAGCCAAAAGCCGCTGCTGCTGCTGCGAGGATGAGCAGAGTTCGCGTGATGGTCGATGCTCCTTGAGATGAGCAAAGTGTTGTGGTTCATTTGTAGCAAAAGCACTTTGTGTGTAATGAGTGCGACCTTGTAATGTATTCGTTCAGCAACCAGAAGCCATTTCAGCTCGGTGAATGTTGCATATGTATGTATATTCAACTAAACTATTGTTATTTTTTGTAAGGTAAGGCCCACTGAGCTATGCAGCTTTTTTTCAGAAGCTACCTGGCCACAAATGATAGCTGAACGAAGTGGCTCATCACGTGGAAATTTATAGCAGCCAAATACTCTAAACACACGTTTCTAAATGTGGAGGGAAAGACTGGAGGATGCAAATAAAATCGACATAAACATGCAAACTTCAAATATACAGGTGTCAGGGTTGGGATGGAACCCACGACCTCCTGTATACCGGGTGAGGTAGTTAACATCTCGCGTCTCGCCACCGTGGCACCCAGGGCTTGCCCTGTACGTAGCCAACCTTGCTGATCGGAGGTGTGGGGGAAGGACATCTTCACGATTCCCAGCATGCATCGCATCTGACGACGCGACACCGCTAATGGCAACGCGGTAAACAATTTGGCGGGGGTGGGGGGCGAGGGGGGTGGAAATGACGGTAAAAAGCGAGTGAGCAAGTCAGCTGTTGGAAGCGGTGAGCCGTGTTGGCCTCGTGGAAAGCTGCAGCCCACGGGCCAGGCGTAGTTACTCTGCACCCCACCCTTCCCCCTCCACCACCGCCCTCGCCCCGACCCGCAGTCGTACATCGCCCCGGCGGCGGCGATCTTCAGGGGCGGCTCGCCGGCGGACATGCTGAACAACATGCGCGTGTACGGCACGTGCTTCCTCACCCTCATGGCGATCGTCGTCTTCGTGGGGGTCAAGTACGTCAACAAGTTTGCCATGGTGTTCCTCGCCTGCGTCATCATCTCCATCTTCTCCATCTACGCCGGCGTCATCAAGTCGGCCTTCGCGCCGCCAGACTTCCCGTGAGTGTCGGTCACGAGCTGTCGACGGCGGCGGCGACTGTTCGCCCGTAGCAGCAGTCGGCGCCACCGAGCGTGACGGGGCTGGGCGCGACTGGCAGGCGTGACGCGGCCTGGTCCGCCAGCTAGACCCTGAGGGTGCTCTCCGGCCTTGGCCGAACAGCAACGGTCACCCGCGCATTCGTACCGATTGTCACATCTGCCGCTCGCTCCCTCCACCCCCTTTCTCTACCCTCCCCCGACCACGCTCGCAGGGTGTGCATGCTGGGCAACCGCGCGCTGTCGCAGCGCACGTTCCAAACGTGCGCCAAGACGGTGGAGGGCCCCAACGGCACGGAGACCACCGACCTGTGGGCGCTGTTCTGCGACTCGCCGCTGCTCAACGCCACGTGCGACAAGTTCTTCGAGGTCAACAACGTCTCCGAGATCGCCGGCATTCCCGGCGCGGCCAGCGGCATCATCAAAGGTGCCGCGGCGGCGATGGCGGCAGCGGCGGCGTGGGAGGATATATCTGCGGTGCCGGAGCCGCGCGACTCGCGTTCGCTCGGTATAGCTGGCGCGCTTTGCTGTCGTTGCAGAAAACCTGTACCACAGGTACCAGCAGAAGGGGGAGCTTCTGGAGAAGAAGTCTGAGCACGACGCGGTGGAGACGTTGCCGCCCGGCGACAACCACCCCTACATCTCCTCCGACATCGCCACCTCCTTCATGTTGCTTGTCGGCATCTTCTTCCCGTCCGTCACCGGTGAGCGGGAGTGGGTGGGGGTCGAGGTGGGGGTCCGGGGTAGGGTTCGGGGTCTGAGTGGGGTTCGGCGGTGGGTGTTGTCTGCAGGTGAAGGTATCCTTAGGGGGCAGGTGAAGTGATGTTTCGGGAAGGGCTGCTGGGACTTGTTGTTAAACAAAGCCAGGAGAGCGCGTGGTAGGCCGGCCGGCACTGGGCTCGCCCATCGCCCCATTCTGCCACCCGCTGTCTCTCTCGCTTCTGGATATTAATTGTCAAAAAAACGAACAAACAATTTAATGAATCAAAGTAACGAAGGTAATGAATGTCCAACGAAGAGACGAGTGCAAGGTCGGCGCTCAACGGGCGTGTGTGGGACCAACGCGCCCACGGGCACGGGTTGACAGGACGGGAGGAGGCCTTCATCCAGCAGTGGATAGTTCATGGCCGAGGATCCTGATGATGATGATGACATTTAATTGTTTTTGATCAAAATTTGTTTTCTTTTATTTTCAGGCATCATGGCCGGCTCCAACCGATCGGGCGATTTAAAAGACGGCCAGAAATCCATTCCCGTGGGGACCATCTGTGCCATTGCGACCACCTCCTTCGTGTGTATCCTTGCCCAGCGCGCAGCCGTAGCCACGTGCACTTTGTGCGTAAGCGTGTGCGTAAGTGCGTGTGTAGGCGCGTGTGGAGAGCGTTGGTATAGCGGTAAGCGTGCTGCACTACAAACCCGGCAAGCCGAGTTCGATTCCCACTCACGACCAACAACGGTGGTGATTAATTTGAACCGGTCTTGGGCCTGCCCTAGGTCGACTGAGCCTCAATGAGTACCTGGACCGGTGTGTAAACATCGCCGCTAGGGAGACAAAGGCGGTCGGACGTGGTGCGGTCCACCCCACCCACCCCCTCGTGCGCCGTGCCGGCCTTCAAAGGTGCTCGCTAACAGCACTTGCCCCTACAGTTTTGAGGCTATGCGGGGCTTCTTTGTTTTTCCACTTCCGAACCCGAGCCGTGCCTCCGACGTCGCACGCAACGTACGAGTTGAGTCGGACCGTGTGATGAAAGCGATGAACCCTGACCCCTGGCCCTGCTTGGCCCAGAGGTCGGATTCCGATATCTCGTGAGGCAAGAGTTTTTTTTGTGGTTTGCATCTGGCTCTGCTCAGAAAATAGTGGGAAATGACAGGGGTGCATTTGTCAGTCAACTCATAACACCTGGGTCTGTCCCGTGACCTCCTGCCCAGTGAGCCTCCCACACTTAACGTGGCTTCGACGTGCACCTATGCCTGGCGCGAACAACCGTGGCAACTTGGTGGCGAAGGGCGGCCGTCGTGAATAATCAACACTCGCGACAAGTGAGACGCAGAGGTGGCGCCGTGGGTAGTGCAGCAGGTGCCATCGGCTGGTCTCGCTGCCCCCCCCCCCCCCCCGTGAGCCCATAACACCTGGGACTCTTCAGTCATCGTTGCCGTCCGTCACGTCGTCATCGCCGAGCATCGCCATCAGTGTCGTTATCGCCATCAATCGTCGCCGTCTTTCGTCGGCGATCATCGAACGTTGTCGTTCATCGTCAATCCCCGTCTACGCCAATCGTCGTCACCATGGATCTTCCTCATCCTCGGCAATGACTGACATCCTTGTAGGATCGGTAAAACGCGAGCAACGCCCTGTCCTGGTGCTGCCACTCATGATGGCGAGGTTTTTGTGCGGGTCCACGTGCTCCAGCTGTCGCTTGTTCCTTGACGCGCCGGATCGTCAAGACCTCACGTGCGTCGTGCTGTTCGGGGCCTGTGTGGAGGGCCTGGTGCTCCGTGACAAGTGAGTGCCGAGCGGTTCGTGGTGGTGATGATGGTGATGATGGTGGTGATGGTGGTGATGGTGATGATGGTGGTGTGGGGAGCGGTAGTGTGGCGGTTAGCACACTTCGCTACGAAACCGATTCCCGCTCGTGGTCAACATCGGTGAGCAATATCTGAACCGGTGCTGGACCACCCCTAGGTCAACTCGGCCTCAAATGAAAACCTGGTGCGGTGTGTAAATATCACCACTGGGAGAGACAAAGGCGGCCGAGGGGGTGGGTGGGCAACACCACGCTCGTGTGCTGTGCCGGCCTTCATAGGTGCTCGCTAACAGCACTTGCCCCAACAGTCTGTTTAGGCTATACGGGGGATCTTTGTCTTTTTTTAGTAATGTGGCGGACGGAGTGATGATGATAGTGGCAGTAGCGGTGGATTGTGGTGGTAGTGGCCATGTTAGTGACGATGTGCGTGCGTGCGTGCGGCGGTGGCGCAGATTTGGCGCGGCGGTGCGCGGGAACCTGGTGGTGGGCACGCTCTCGTGGCCCTCGCCGTGGGTCATCGTCATCGGCTCCTTCTTCTCCACGTGCGGCGCCGGCCTCCAGAGCCTGACGGGCGCGCCGCGCCTCCTGCAGGCCATCGCCAAGGACAACATCATCCCCTTCCTGCGGGTACGCGCTGGCGTCCCGTCGGGCATGACGCGCACCCCTAGCAACGACCCCAAGCGACCCCTAGTGACCATTAGCGACGACCCAAGCGACCCCTAGCAGATCCCTACGGATGGCGCGCGCCAGCTCGCGACGGTGATGGCGCGCCGCCTGGTAGGCCATCGCCAACGACAAAACGGGGACGGTGACGCGGCCCCAGCGGCGGCTCGTTCGTGGTTCGAATCCATCGGCCGCCCTGTTTAACGCTGCGGTGCGTACGAACCGTAACAATACTACCCCGACTACGGTGCGTGAAAGATCCCCCGATGTCGTTCGCAAGAGGAAGAAGGCCGTTGCGTGCCGGCACAGAGCGATCATCACCCCCGTATCGGGAGAAGAATGCCCACGATGCGAGCCAGGTGATGAGTCGGTCACCTTGTGTCCACAGGGACAGCTGCTGCTGGGGGTGCCCTTTTTTACGTGAGATGTAAAGTGTGCACCCGGGACGCCCCGGCGCAGAGGAGGGCAGCAGATCTGTCAGAAAAACAAACAAGAATCGGAATCTTTATTTATCTCGGAGAAACCTGATGGGCTCCGAAGCTCTTTTCCACAGACGCCCAGTGACTTACCGCGACCCCCACCTCTCCGTCGCACACACCGCGTGACCTGCGCTGCCACCCCCCCCCCCCCCCCCCCCCCAGGTGTTTGGCCACGGCAAGGCGAACGGCGAGCCCACGTGGGCGCTGCTGCTCACGGCCGGGATCGCCGAGCTCGGCATCCTCATCGCGTCGCTCGACATGGTGGCTCCCATCCTGTCCATGTGAGCATCACCGCCGCCAAACCCTCCCCACGATCGCGATGATGACGATGATGGCGATGATGGCGATGATGGTGATGATGGCGATGATGATGATGACGATGACGATGATGACGATGACGTGATTCGCAACAAAAGCGATGTCCTGCTCAAGTGAGCGTTGAGGCGTTGGTGCTCATCGACAGCCCTGAGCCAGTGGTGGAAATTCCAAATTGGTGTGGCCGGGTGGGGGGGCAGCTGGGGGGGGGCGTGGCGGGGGGTGCGGGGGGGCAAATGTATCCGTGGAATTCAAGCGTCGTTGAATTCTAAAAGGTGTCGTTGAATTCAAAGTGGTGCTCGTTACTTTCGTTAGTCGTGGTAATCAACCGAACTTTGATGGGCCGTGTCAACCTCCCAACGGGGACCTGAAGTCGCATCCTTATGGTGATGAACCGCTGGCTCTACCGCCGATGGCGGCGATGGTGACGGTAACGGTAACAATGATTGTGACGGTGACAGTTACGATGATGGTGATGGTGACAATTACGGTGACGGTCACTGTGACGGTCACTGTGACGACGGCCGTGACGCGTGACGCGTGACGTTGTGCCACGGTGGCATGATGACGGCGCAGTGACGGCTCCTCTGCGTGCACCCCCCAGGTTCTTCCTCATGTGCTACATGTTCGTGAACCTCGCCTGCGCCCTGCAGACGCTGCTGCGAACGCCCAACTGGCGCCCGCGCTTCAAGTTCTACCACTGGTGAGTAGCGACCGCACCGCCCTCGCCACACGCCGGCCGCCCCACCGAGCTCACGACGCTCGCCACCACGCTCACCACCACACCCTCCCCACACCGCGCTCACCAACCTTTCCACCACGCTCACCACCACACCCTCGCCACACCGCCCTCACCAACCTTTCCACCACGCTCACCACCACACCCTCGCCACACCGCCCTCGCCAACCTTTCCACCACGCTCACCACCACACCCTCGCCACACCGCCCTCACCAACCTTTCCACCACGCTCGCCACCACACCCTCGCCACACCGCGCTCACCAACCTTTCCACCACGCTCACCACCACACCCTCGCCACACTGCCCTCGCCAACCTTTCCATCACGCTCACCACCACACCCTCGCCACACCGCGCTCGCCAACCTTTCCACCACGCTCACCACCACACCCTCGGCACACCGCCCTCGCCAACCTTTCCACCACGCTCACCACCACACCCTCGCCACACTGCCCTCACCAACCTTTCCACCACGCTCGCCACCACACCCTCGCCACACCGCGCTCACCAACCTTTCCACCACGCTCACCACCACACCCTCGCCACACCGCGCTCACCAACCTTTCCACCACGCTCACCACCACACCCTCGCCACACCGCCCTCGCCAACCTTTCCACCACGCTCACCACCACACCCTCGCCACACCGCCCTCACCAACCTTTCCACCACGCTCGCCACCACACCCCGCCACACCGCGCTCACCAACCTTTCCACCACGCTCACCATCACACCCTCGCCACACCGCCCTCGCCAACCTTTCCACCACGCTCACCACCACACCCTCGCCACACCGCGCTCACCAACCTTTCCACCAGGCTCACCACCACACCCTCGCCACACCGGGCTCGCCAACCTTTCCACCACGCTCACCACCACACCCTCGCCACACCGTGCTCACCAAACTTTCCACCACGCTCACCACACCCTCGGCACACCGCCCTCACCAACCTTTCCACCACACTCACCACACCGCGTTCTCCCCACTCGCCACACTCACCACAATCGCCGCCATCACCGCGCTCGGGACAAAGGCGGCCGGGCGTGGCGCCGGCCACTCCCGACAACGTTTCCTCGTCGGCTCGCACGTCAGCACAGTGGTCGTCCCTGTGTCTGTTCTTCGTTTAGCGTAATTGCAACTGCGCCGTGATCGGTCATCACCGAGCCGACTCTGGGGAATTTATTATGCAACACCGATTTGGGTTCGTCCAACGTGTTTCGAATTCCCGTTCGACGCGGTTGCTTTTTGCTCCGATTTCTCGCTTTTGTTTTTTTTGCTTTTGCCATTTTGGTGACGCGGGACACCTCGCAAATGAGGCTCCATCCTGGCCTCTCCCCCAGCCCTTAATAGAACAAAATCAACTAGAAGCCTCCCCCCCCGCACTTGCACCGACTGTCTACGTAGGCTACACGGGGGGTGTCTTTACACTCGTGCGTGTGTGCGTGCATGCGTGCGTCCCTGCGTGCGCGAGTGCAGGACGCTGTCTTTCCTGGGCATGAGCATCTGCCTGGCGCTCATGTTCATCTCGTCGTGGTACTACGCCATCGTCGCCATGCTCATCGCCGTGATGATCTACAAGTACATCGAGTACCGCGGGTGAGCGCAGCCGGAGAGGCAGCCAATCCTGGGTCTCTGTGTGGGTCTATGGGTCTCTGTGTGGGTCTGTGGGTCTCTGTGTAAGTTTACGGGTCTCTGTGTGGGTCTACGGGTCTCTGTGTGAGTCTACGGGTCTCTGTGTGGGTCTACGGGTCTCTGTGTGGGTCTACGGGTCTATCTGTGAGTCTATGGGTCTCTGTGTGAGTCTATGGGTCTATATGTGGGTCTATGGGTCTCTGTGTGAGTCTATGGGTCTCTGTGTGAGTCTATGAGTCTCTGTGTGTGTCTGGGTCTCTGTGTGAGTCTATGGGTCTCTGTGTGGGACTACAGGTCTCTCTGTGAGTCTATGGGTCTCTGTGTGAGTCTATCGGTCTCTGTGTGAGTCTACGGGTCTCTGTGTGGGTCTACAGGTCTCTGTGTGGGTCTACAGGTCTCTGTGTGAGTCTGTGGGTGTCTGTGTGAGTCTATCGGTCTCTGTGTGGGTCTACGGGTCTCCGTGTGGGTCTACGGGTCTTTATATCAGAAATCAGAATCAGAAATCAGAAACGGTTTTAATCGCCATGTAAGTTTGCACAAACAAGGAATTCACTATGGCGGGACGGTGCATACATTGAACAAGTAGGAATCTTAACTTATATAAAAGGTATACACTCTAACTATACTAATGTTACAAAGTATAAGTAATACCAAAGGGCTAAAATCTTAAAAATTATGAATAAGTAGACCTTATAAAATGCGAATGTAAAATGTTAATTAGCCGTATTAAACAATCTTAAAATACAAAAATACAAATAAGATTACACGTTGTAAGTATGGAACGGTGTAATTATGTAGATAAAATGTTACAGTAAGTGTAACAGTCATTTTAAGTGTATATAGTGCCAGGCGTCGCCGTGTGAGCCCATGCCCCCGCACGGGGTGTCCGTGTTCCACCCCAGTGGCCTCTGTCGCATCCACCGTGCTCCCCCTGCCCTCGCGAGTTCTCCCGTCCTCGTGGTGGTTTCCTGCTCTGACCCTCTTGACGCCTGTGCGCGTGTGTGCGCGTGTGTGTGCGTGTCTCTATGTGTCTGTGTGCCTCTGTGTCTGTCTGTGTCTTTGTCTTCATCTTGTCGTCCGGCAGGGCGGAGAAGGAGTGGGGGGACGGGATCCGGGGGCTGTCGCTGAGCGCCGCGCGCTTCGCCCTGCTGCGCCTCGAGGAGGGGCCCCCGCACACCAAGAACTGGAGGTGGCCCAGCGCCTCACCCAGCGCCTCACCCAGCCCCTCACCCAGCCCTTCACTCAGCCCCTCACCCAGCGCCTCACCCAGCCCCTCACCCAGCGCCTCACCCAGCCCCTCACCCAGCGCCTCACCCAGCGCCTCACCCAGCCCCTCACCCAGCCCCTCACCCAGCCCCTCACCCAGCCCCTTACCCAGCGCCTCGCCCAGCGCCGCCACCGTCGCCCGCCACCATCTTCACCACCATCGTCACGGTTGCCATCATCACCATCGTCGCCGCCACCGTCGCCACCATCGTCATTGTGATTGTCGCCACCATCGTCACCGTCGTCATCATCGCCCACCGCTGCCATCGCCGCCCCCCACCATTATCGTCGTGATCGTTGCCGCCATCATCGTCGCCATCGCCACCACCGTCGTCATCGTCAACGTCATCTTCAACGTCGCCATGACCGAGTGCGGAATCAGAATCTTTATTCGTCCTGGAGAAATCCGATGAGCTATGAAGCTCTTTCTCACAGATGTCTAGTGGGGGCGGGCGAGTGCGCTGCCGCCGGCTCCGGCCGTGTGTCCCGGGTCCACCGGCCGGGCCCGACGCCCGCTGAGCTTGCGCCCGTGCCCCCGCAGGCCCCAGCTGCTGGTGCTGCTCAAGCTGGACGAGGACCTGAACGTGAAGAACCCGCGCCTGCTCACCTTCGCGTCGCAGCTCAAGGCCGGCAAGGGCCTCACCATCGTGGGCTCCGTCATCGAGGGCAGCGTCCTCGAGACGTGCGGCGAGGGGCAGACCGCCGAGCACGTGAGGGCACCCTCACCACCCTCGCCACCCTCTCCACCCTCACCACCCTCGCCACCACTCGCCACCGCTCGCCACCGCTCGTCGTCCTTGCCAACATCGCCACCCTCGCCACCCTCCCCACCATAACCACCCTCGCCACCCTCGCCACCCTCGCCACCCTCCCCACCATAACCACCCTCGCCACCCCCCCCACCACTCGCCACACTCCCCATCACTCGCCACCACTCGCCACCACTCGCCACCCTCGCCACCCTCGCCACCACTCGCCACCCTCCCCACCACTTGCCACCCTCGCCACCCTCCCCACCACTCGCCACCCTCCCCACCACTCCCCATCCTCCCCACCACTCGCCACCCTCCCCACCACTCGCCACCCTCCCCACCACTCGCCACCCTCCCCACCACTCGCCACCCTCGCCACCGCTCAGCCACCGCTCGCCACCACTCTTCCTCCTCCTCCTCCTATCTCCATACTCTTCCTCTCAATCCTCTTCCTCCCTCTGTCCTCCTCCCTCTTCGTCTCGTCTTCATCTTTGTCCTCTTCCTCCTCCCACCTCGTCCTATGCTCCCTCCCTCCCGTGAAAACCGCGCACGGCCAAAACATACGATCGGTAAAACCGTGTTCGGCGAGGATTTCCCGTCACCGTCACCGTTATCTTCCTCGTCATCGTTTGCGCCGTCTTTGCGCCGAGCGTGCGTCGTTCGACGGGCGACGGCCACGCCGCTCCGCCCTAGACGGCAAAACGGCCGCGCGCTTTCAGTTCCCTTGAGCCGGCGGTCTGCGTAAGGCCGAGGGGGCGGCCCCGTCGCGCACGCGCTGCCGCGTGCCTCGTCCGACGACTCGGCGGGTGCGCCGTTGCTGCCGCTCCGCAGACGATCAAGCGGATGATGGACATCGAGAAGGTGAAGGGCTTCTGTCAGGTGGTGGTCTCCTGCAAGGTGCGCGACGGCATCTGCCACCTGGTGCAGTCGAGCGGCCTGGGGGGCCTGCGGCCCAACGCCGTCGTCATGGGGTGGCCCTTCGGCTGGCGGCAGAACGAGGACTCGCGCACGTGGAAGACCTTCATCGGTATGCGCGTGCGTGCGCGTGTGTGCGTGCTCGTGTGCGCGTGTGCGTCGGTTTAACACGTAGGCTTTCGCAACCAATATCATCCGTAATACAGGTCGTGTTTTTGGTTAGATCGCGTAAATATAAATGTTTCGCTAAACCGTTGTGTCCGTGCAGAAACGGTGCGCATCACCACGGCGGCCCACCACGCGCTGCTCGTGGCCAAGAACATCGCGCTCTTCCCCGGCAACCAGGAGCGCTTCGCCGACGGCAGCATCGACATCTGGTGGATCGTGCACGACGGAGGCATGCTCATGCTGCTGCCTTTCCTGCTGCGGCACCACAAGGTGTGGCGGTGGCAGCGGTGGTGGTGGTGGCGACGGGGGCGGTGGTGGTGGGCGTCGGTGGTGGCGGTAGCAGTGGCAGTGGCGGTGGTGGTGGCGTTTGTGGCGGTGGCGACGGTGGTGGTGGTGGGCGGTGGTGGTGGTGGCGTTTGTGGCGGTGGCGGCGGTGGTGGTGGCGTTTGTGGTGGTGGTGGGCGGCGGTGGTGGTGGCGTTTGTGGCGGTGGTAGCGGGTGGCGGTGGTGGTGGTGGCGTTTGTGGCGGTGGCGGCGGTTGCAGTGGTGGCGGTGTTTTCTGATTTGTCGAGGAATGGGACCGCTAATTATCCATCTGAGTCATCGATTGCCGAAGCGATCGCCTGTCCCCTGCTCCCACTGGAGCCGGGTGGTCCACACCCAAGCAATCGGTTGCATGCGACCGTGAAATGGCTTGCGTGTGGACGTCTCTGCAACTGGTTGCTCACAGTGGAGAGAGGCACGGCTGATGGCTCGGGTGGTGGTCCCGGTTGTGGGATGCGGTCACACCGGGGCGCTGTATAAATCTACACACGGCTTATCGCAGTCACTGTTGTAGCAGTAGTAGTAGTAATGTTTCGTAATACATCTTCTGGGGTTCGGCATAATGCGGTGAGCAAATCTGCGTCGTTAGGAGCCCTCCTCCACGCGACGCAGCCACGCGTGTACTAATTGTGTACTAATTGTGTACTAATTGTGTACTAATTGTGTACTAAGCGTGTACTAAGCGTGTACTAAGCGTGTACTAAGCGTGTACTAAGCGTGTACTAAGCGTGTACTAAGCGTGTACTAAGCGTGTACTAAGCGTGTACTAATTGTGTACTAAGCGTGTACTAATCTTATACTAAGCGTATCAACGGTGTCATTTCAGTGTGGAGGGTTGCTGTGTCCGTACGTATGTTGAACTTCTTTTGACACCGTGCGTAGCTAATGAGAGGTACGGGGGAAGGATGGCAAACTCAACTGGTGTGGCACAACCCCTAACGATCGACGCCGAGAATCGCTGCGAGTCGCGTCGCGTCGCGTCGCGTCGCGTCGCGTCGCGTCGCGTCGCGTCGCGTCTACCCTGCCCCCCCCCCCCCCCCGCCCCACCTCACCACCCTCTCCCCCCGCCTCTCGTGCGCACCGCAGGTGTGGAAGAAGTGCCGCATGAGAATCTTCACGGTGGCGCAGCTGGAGGACAACAGCATCCAGATGAAGAAGGACCTGGCCACGTTCCTCTACCACCTGCGCTTCGACGCCGAGATCGAGGTCGTCGAGCTGGTGAGAGCCCAGCCCGGGCCTCGCGCGCCGCTCGCCGCCAACCACGAAACTGCTCAACGCGATCGTTTCGCTGCCTGCTCCGCGGAATTGAGCTGGGGGTGGTAGGGGGCGTGGGGGGGGGGTGGGGTAGGTGGAGGTCCTGGAAAAAGCTGATAACCCACGGGTGGTGGTGGTGGTGGTACGGCCGCCCCTCCATTGTCCCGCGTCTGCAGTCGACCCTTTAGCGGGGGGCCGCGTTGCCCCCCTCAGGTGAAACGAAATCTCGGGGGGGTGGAGGGGGCAGCAGCAGCCGCCACCCACCCCCACTCGGCCCGCCTACGGGGGAGCGGTATTCGCTGCGCGACAGCCGAACCAATTGTTTTTGTTCATTTCTCGGAGCAGGAGAGAGAAACCAGTTGTAACGTTGGCGGGTTTTTGTTGCTGTTGTTGTTGCTGCTGCGTCTATTTGGCCGCGAGGCTGAGAGACCGTCGGCTCGCCTGGGTCTCCGTCGAGGGGGGAGATATTCGCATCTCGATGGGTCTTACCCGATTTAAAGCAGCCGAGCCGAGTCGCTACACTCGAAGCCGGTGCAGTCGGCCGTGGCTTGGGCGGCTGAATCCTGGATTCGAACCCAGGATCTCGGCTGGTCTCGGATGTGCCGTCTCTGACCTCCGAGCCTTTTTTAATTTCTTGAAAGCAATTGTGAATAATTAAAAAGTTACTGACGCGCTGTGCTTGTGGCGCGCAGAACGACAGTGACATCTCGGCCTACACCTACGAGCGGACCCTGATGATGGAGCAGAGGACACAGATGCTGCACCAGATGAGGCTGTCAAAGTCTGAGAGGCAGCGAGAGGTGAGCAGACCTCGCCACCATTCACTCATTCATCCGTTCACTCATTCATCCGTTCACTCATTCATCCGTTCACTCTTCCATCCATTCACTCATTCATCCATTCACTCTTCCATCCGTTCACTCTTCCATCCGTTCACTCTTCCATCCGTTCACTCTTCCATCCATTCACTCTTGCATCCATTCACTCTTGCAACCATTCACTCATGCATCCCTACATTCCTCCATCCATTCCCAGTCATTCTCTCTACCACTCTCACACACTTACACGCTCACACACTAAAGACACTCCCTCTCAACCTCACAGACGCAGGCACGTGTGTCTGTGCGTGCTGCTCAGGCCCACCCGCCCTCTCGCTCGCACGTTCTCACACTCGCTCATACACCTGCTCGCCCACGTGCGCACGCACGGTGCGTGCGCGTAGGGAGCGGTGGCGCAGTGCCGAACGCGCTACGCCACGAACCCGGCAAAGAATCGAGTTCAATTCCCGCTCCGAACCGGTCCTGCGCCTCTCCTAGGTCGACTCGGCCGTAAATGAGTCCCTGGTGCAGTGTGTAAACATCGCCACTGGGGTCGACAAAGGCCGCTGGGTGTGGTGCTGGCCACCCACCCCCACCCTCTCGTGCGCCGTGCCGGCCTTCAAAAGGCGTCGCTCGCTCACAGCACTTGCCCCACGGTCTGTTTGGGCTACACGGGGGGCGGGATCTTTATCTTTGCCTTAAAACTCAACTTTTTTTATATATTATCAGGTAAGGCCCACCGAGCTATGTAGCTATTTTTTCGAAGCGACCTGGCCACAGATGATAGCTCAACCAAGTGGCTTATCGTGTGGAAATGTATAGCAGCCAAATACTCGCGTGATGTTGATTCTAAATGTGGAGGGAAAAACCGGAGGACCCGGAGAAAAATACACGCGACCACTGGGAGAGAGACACCGCAAACTCAAAAATATACAGCAGGTGTCAGGGGTCGGGATCGAACCCACGATCTCCTGTATTTTTCCTCGCTTAATACAGTAAATTCAGCTGTGACGGTCCCACCTGATGACGGAGACTTGTGTTGCCTCCTAAACGTCCTGATTTATTATTTTATTTCTATTATTATTTCTATTATTTAATTTATTTTTACCTACGTGACTTTACCGAAAAAACCCTAAGAGTATGAATCCTTGCAGTCACGAAAGCTTCAAATCTAGAGGGAGTTAACGTCTCACTGCCGCTCAGGCCCAGATGGTGAAGGACCGCCACCTGCTGGCGCGCTCGGAGAGCATCGTGTCGGAGGACGAGGAGTCGGAGGCGGCGACGGACGTGGTGCCGAGCCCCGAGCGCGTCCACATGACCTGGACCAAGGAGCGCTACGAGCGAGCTCACCGGCACGCCGCGGCCGCCGCCGCCGCCACGGCGCAGCAAGCGCGCGCCCAGGACGGAGCCGCCGCCGGCGTGGGGACGCCCGACGGCTTCCGCGACCTCCTCAACATCAAACCGTGAGCGCCGCCACACCGCGCCACGCGGGGGCCAGTGCACCGCCTTGCACCGCACCGCCGTGCACCGCAATGCACTATACCGCACCGGTGCACTGCCTTCTGCACCGCAGCATTGCACCGCATTGCATAGCACCGGTGCACCGCATTGCACTGCACCGCATCGCACTGGATCACTGCACCACATCACACTGCGCCGCACCACCGCATGGCACCAGAGCACCGTGTCGCACTGCACCGCACCGCTGTACAGGCGACTCCCGCACCGACGACCTAATTGGTCCCTGGACGAGGTCGCAAGTCGAGCCGTCGTAAGTCGAAACCCGTTAGATGCCAATAAAGTAGCAAAATTGACGACGAAGATAAATGTCAATAACCCTAACGAACATTTATTGTAACTTAACATAACTTGTGCAAACAATGATTGAGTAAAAACAGAAACTTAACATTAAAAAATTCCTTAAGTATTTCTCTGCACGTGCATCACATTTCCTCTTCTCGGACAGCGGTAGCGAAAGGCGAAATACATTTCAAAATTTTAAGAAAATTAACAAAAAAGTGGTTTTGCGAAAGAGATTCTGCTGCGTTCGCTCTCGCTGGAGACTGTTGGACTGCACTGTACACACGCAGACAGCGCCAAGTCTGCGCTTGACATGCGCAGATTCGTCACGTCGGTAGCAGTTGATCGTAGATACGAGTTTTGGTCGTTACCGTGGGGATGTGATTTACTTTAAGAAAGGTCGTAAAAGTGGGGGGTCACCTGTACCACACTGCCTTGCACCGCATCACTGCATCACGTTGCACCGCATTGCACCGCATGCGCACCGGACTGCAGCGCCACGATACCACACCGCGTCTTACTCGCGCGCCACACCCACCACTGCGCTGGGGTGTGGCTGCGGTCGCCAAAGATCAAACCTCGCACTACGCCGGCTCACCCTCTCTCCGAGTCTTCGCCGGAAAACCGTAAACAAAGAAACATCGCCGCTCGACTCGGCACCATGCAGACACAGAAGACGACGAGGGACGACCCCCGACCTTCCGTCGTTGAACTTTAACCTCTCTCCCTCTCCCCCAACCGCCCCCCTGTCCGCCCCCTGTGACCCGGCAGGACGCAGTCGAACGTGCGGCGCATGCACACGGCGGTGAAGCTCAACGAGGTGATCGTGAGCCGCTCGCACGACGCTCGCCTCGTGCTGCTCAACATGCCCGGCCCGCCCAAGAACCCCGACGGGGATGAGAATTGTATCCTTGCGACGTTCCGCGCGGCCGAGCTGGTCTCCTCGATGCAGCCGCTGGCAGGGTTCACCGGCTGGGTTCACCGGCTGGGTTCACCGGCTGGGTTCACTGGCTGGGTTCACTGGTGCGGCTGTCTTGGCTAAAACTGTACGCGTTGTTTTTATAATTGCTGTCGGTTGTTTCGGCGGCACCAAAGACAGAGATCCCCCGTGTAGCCTTAAAAGACTGTTGGGGCAAGTGCTGTTAGCGAGCAGCACCCATGAAGGCCGGTACGGCACACGAGGGGGTGGGTGGCCAGCACCATGCCCGAACCGCCTTTGTCTCCCCAGTGGCGATGTTTACACACCGCACCAGGTACTCATTTGAGGCTGAGTCGACCTAGGGTAGGCCCAGGACCGGTTCAGATAATCGTCACCGGTGTTGGCCGTGAGCGGGAAACGAACTCGGGTCGCCGAATTCGTAGTGCGGCGCGCGAACCACTACGCCACCGCTTCCCCACCAGCAGTTTGCCTTGACCCCTGACCCCGCCTGAAGACATGGAGTTCCTGGAGGTGCTCACCGAGGGACTGGAGCGAGTGCTGCTCGTCCGAGGCGGCGGTCGGGAGGTCATCACCATCTACTCGTGAGGTCGCGGGTCACGAGGTCGCGACGCCTTCCCCCCCCCCCCACACCATCTTCCTGCGCCGCCACGTTCCCCCCTCGCCCCCTCGTCTTCTGCGACACGTCTGCGCTCCGACTCGCGTGTTTGGTGCCGCGTCGTCGTAACGAGCTCTCGGCTTTAGGATTTCTCTGCTTCCGCTGCGGCTGACGGTCCGCCGTCGAACGGTGGACTTTTCGATTGTTTTTTTTGTTTCTCTCGGAAACTCCGCGTCTGTGTTGGCGGTCGCCGACTCTGAGAAAGCCGTCCGTCCGTCCATCGTCGCGTCAGTCCGTCCGCGCGTCCGCACGGACGGACGCGCGTCCGTTCGCACATCCGTCCAAATCGGCTCGGCAGACACCGGGTCAGATCTGACCGAGGCTCCAGACTCTGCCAGGCCGCGGTACCTACGTTGAGCTTCTTTCGCACCGCCGTACGTAGCCAACCGTGCTCATCGGAGGTGCGGGGGAAAGACGACAACGCTCAACGCAAACCACACCGGCCGCCGCTACTCGCCCGTCTTTCAACATCGCCCCCCGCGCGGGAATTGCTCTGTGATCGATTGGCGCATGGGGGTCCTGTGGATGGGGGGGGGGAGGGCCTGTTTGTTTTGTCCGATCGTTGACGTTGGTCTTGGTCTGGCCGGCCGGATCCTGGGGGAGGGGGGCGGTAGCCTAACGAAGGGAATGCTCTCTTTGTCGTTCGTCACACACGTGTAAAAAATACTTTTATTTCGTAGCTGCTGCGCGCACACGTTGCCCGCAGATCCCTCGCGTCGCTCCGCGTTCCGTCGCCGTGCGCCCCGGCGCCCGCGGGGGTTGTGGGGGCTCTGCTATGTGGAGCAGTTCGTTGGTCGCCGGCGCAACCATCAGGTTTATAAGATAATAATAATAATAATATATTTTTAAAAAGTCACGACCATGTAGTTCCTTGGTTAAGACAGTCGCCAGCTTCGGGCGAGGTTTTGCGATGCACGGTGGGCGTGAGAGGCGGCGGCGGCGGCGGCGGTGGGGGGGGGGGGGGCTGGCAGAGTTTTCATCGCGGCCGTCGCGAGCGCTCGTTGTTTCCGGCTCGGCTCGCGACGTCCGCCTGCCGCCGCCGTGTTTTTTGTTGCGTCCTTCCCACATGCGGCGTGCGGCAGTTGGTTAAAGTGGCAGCAAACCCACGGGCGACTCTCGCGTCGCAACGTGACGTCGCTGATCGCTCGACGTCAACTCCTAAAGGCGCGCGCCCTCCCAAAATCTCTACGTGCACTTCCCCCCGCCCCCAACGTTATTTATTTATTGTTACACCGCTCGAAGGTCTCGGATGTTTTGAACGCCCCCGCGGTGTTCAGCGGCGTCCTCCCCGCGAGAGGCGACGGCTCCCTCGCCGCTCCCCTCGCCCGTCCCTCGGCCGCGGGGGGGGGCGGGGGGGGCGAGCACGAGTCGTGCCGGATGACTAATTGGGGCGGACGGAGATATTACGATCAAAAAAAGCGAAAGGGGTGGCCCCTGTGGATGGGCCGGACTCTGAATCTCAAAGTCTTTACTTTGACCGCAGGAGGAATCCGATGAGCTGTGAAGCTTTTGTTCACAGGTGCCCACGAGCAGGTGCACCGCTGACTCGATGCTCCTGCTCGGGGATGGGAGTTGGGGTTAGTATCAGCTGTAGGCCTGGCTACGTCTGGTGTGAGATTGGCTTGGAGGCCAGGGGCTCGGGTGTAGCGCCAGAAGCAGCGGCAGCATCAGGTTGGAGAGGGATCGGGCCGCTGCTATCGCCTGCACGGCTCGTTGGGCAATGCTGCCGTGGGTGTACGAAGGGGGGTTGGCACACAAGTTGAGGGTCGGCGCCGCGTAGCCACGCTGCCCATGGCGACGCTCCCGCCGTCTTTTGCGATTCGTCGTTTTCTCCACCCGACCCCCCCCCCCCCCCCCGACGTTTGTTTCTGGACTCTCACGGCGGCGATCCGCGGCGTTTTTATTTTTGCGGCGCGCCGAGGAGGGAACCTCGCAAGCGGCTCCGGCCAAGGTGCACGGGGCGGGCGAGGGGATCGCGGGCCTCACGTTGCCAGTCGCACTTGTCAGTGTTGGCAAGTGGCCTTCTCGTTACTTCAAGGGGGTGACCTCTCCGGCCGTGGGCTGGCCTCGCCCTCGTTGGGGATCGTCGGTGCGGTGCGGCGTGGCTGCCCGCCCGCCGCCGATGCTCCGTGGATTGCCGCCGGTCGATTTGTCAAGAAACGAAGCCGCTGCTCCTGACGCGCAGTTGAGCGGGGACCGTGCCGTGCCGACGATCCCCGAGAAGGGCGAAACCTATGCCACGATCTGAGCCACGAGGGGCGGCCGCGGAGGGGTGGCGGGCCAGGTGGCCGTGCCACCATTCCGGTGGATCGTCACGATTTCCGGCGATCGTCGCGATCCGATTCGGGAAGGCCAGCGGAGGTGCACCGAGGGTTGGTGGATCGCACACGCGCTCGCGATTCTCCCTCCCTGTACCCGGCTTGCCGCGGGCCCCAACTCGGCAAGCCACGGCGTGAGCCTTGGGGGAGCTCCGACGGCGAGCGAGGTTCACGACGGCACGCGCAGTACCCGGCGAAAACCGCCGCATGCCTAGGTGGATGCACAACGGGGTCGGCACTTAACCCTGAAGAAGAACGCACAAAACTTGAATGACGTCGAGCTTCAGATGTGGAATGCTGTGCACTAAAGAGACGGAAGTGGAACGTCGAACGGGTTTCCGAATCGACGCCGGTGCACGTGTTAGGCTTTTTGAAGGCTTGGCGGATTAAACCGGGATCCCGAACTTTACCCCCCCACCTCACCCCCCTCGGCGGGTCTTGATGCGGCCCACGCGATGACGACGTTGCCCCCCCCCACGCCCCCGAGTGATTTGGAGCGCGCCGTTGCTCTCGCTGCGATTCTTGCGTTTGTTCGTTAAAAAAGACGCCCCGCGAGACCGCCGTTTTTGGACGGTGGCTTATTCACGGACGTTTCACGGGCCGGTCTCGTTGGCGACGAACGTCTCCCAGTGTTCTCGCCCGATTATATTATTTTTTAAAATATATCCTTTTTCCATCGGCCGTCGGAGCTCCCGCAGCGCAACTGCCAAAAACCTTCGCGGCAGAGTCCCGCGGCCGCCACATCGCCAGCGACGGAGGCCGACGGGAGTTGTTCTTTGGGCCGTTTTGTGGACGCGCGTGTCCGGCCCGTTAAGCGTAGTTGCCCGCTTGCCGTGTGCCCCGCGCTGCTGCGTAAGGGATGGGCTTCGGCGGTGCTGTTGGTCGTGACGTTTGTGATCCGGGCATTCTTTTTTCGCGGCTGCAACGCAATCGCGATTTTATGGTCCAGTTGGAAAAACCTTTCGCGGTTACAAACAAAAGTTTTAAAGAAAAAAATATATAGAGATAAAGAACTGGGGACCAGGAAAGTTGCATCAATTTGTTCTGCTGTCCCGTTGCACTTTTTAGTTATAAAACGCTATTTTTTCTGTCTTTGCGCCAACACGCAAGTGCCCGTGGCGTGACCCGCCACGCTGCGGTGCCGGGTCGGCTGCGTTCCTGTTTGTCCGTGCGTAGGCCTCATCGCCTCCGGCTGTGCTCGGCGTCTTGGTCGTGTTCGCGCGAGGCAGCGAGTTGGTCCACGAGTCCAGGGCGGGCGTTTCACTCGTCCAGTACCACCTGACGTCGGCCATCGCTCGCGTGGTTCCTACTTTACCCCGCGTGGCCAATCGCGTGCCTCGCCATTTGAAACGAGCGTCGTTGGCAAATCAATCGTAGCCAGTTCTAGAGATGGGTCCTACGCGAGCTTCGCTACCTCGGCTCGTACCAAATCTCCGCGCTGTCGGGACTAAGTGAGCGGTGAACGTAATGGCAAATTGGAACGTTGGCTTCTTCATAATCGCAGTGAGCAATAACGAAACAGGGTAATAATAACCGCGTGGCCCAGAGGTTGACGCGTCGCCACAAGTGCCCAGCGATTCATGCGGGGAATTTACCAAAGCGTGCAGCCTCCTCCTCCGCAGACATTAAAGGCCTCCCGCCACCCCCCGCCGGCTGTCCTCGTTAACGTGGTCCCTGAGGACGTTCACCGTGTCAGAATCACAATGCGAACGATTTATTTATACCGGAGGAGGAATCGGAAGAGCTATAAAGCTCTACCTCCCCCCCCCCCCCCCCCCCCAGGGGCACGTGGTCAGATTCGTTAACCGGGGCCGTCCCCCCTGGAGGGTGGAGAGACGAAAGTGCCCCCCCCCCCACACAACAGGGCCTGCGCGTGTGTGTGTGCGTGTGTGCGAGCGTGTGTGTGTGTGCGTGCACGTGCGTGCGTGTGTGTGCGATCGCGTTTGCTTTTCTCTGTGTCGCGAATAAGGTGGGCGGCCGTGGTCTCGCAGCCGAAATGCGGTGAAGTGACCCGCGGCTACAGCGCAGGGGTGAAATTCGCTCGTTGGCGTCACACCACCCGCGGACAGGCCCCCCCCCCCCTCCGCCTTGCGGGCCGAGCGATGAGCACCATCTCTCCGTGGCATCGCCGGCAGTTGGGGGGGGGGGGGCAAAACAAAATAAAAAAATCGACTCCTCGCAGCGCGCCCGCGATATCGGCAGTAAGGACGCGTCTGTCCGTCCGCGTTTCCGCCCCGGCGCATTTGGGAGAAGGGCGTTTTTGATCTTGCGGATTTGCAATGTGGCCCCGTGCGTCACTCTGAAAGCAGCCCTTCGTTTTTAGATCCTCCGCTGGACGAGGGCCTCCCACCCCCCCACAACCCTCCCCCCCTCCTCCGATGCAGTGCAGGTTGTGGATGATTGTACGACCGTACTTCAGCATGCTGCATCGGTGGTTGGTGGTGAAGGGCCCCGGGTGGTGGTGGAACGCATTTTTTTTATTTTAATGCCTTTCTTTTTTACTTACGACAATTTTTACGAGGTTAATTTTCAACAAAAAAATGGGAAAATGTTTGCAATACAGTCGCGAATTTTAGACCAGGAGCAGGGGGTGGGGTGGAGGGGTGGGGTGGGGGGTGTGGGGGACCCTACGTACCCACAACTTCAAGTCTCGAGGCCCCACGGCCCACGCGAGGCCCCTCCCACTCGGAAACGGCCCACAGGACGCTGCCGCCGCCGCCGCCGCACCTCCCTCCACGAGCTCGTCAGCAGCACTCATCGGGTACCGGGGGGCAAGGGGCGCGGGGGGGAATAATCGCCACCCGGCAACCGCTCCGTGGCGCAAATTCCTCACCCGCCCTCCGGTCACTTCCGTCATCGCCAGGGCCTCGACCTGACTCGCGTGCGCGTCGCTACGGCTCAGTGACACGGGCGTGGGGGGGCGGGGGCGGTGTGCGCGTGGTGGTCGTTGCGGCCGCCCCCGGTTTTTGCGAGGTCGGCAAGAGATTCCTCGCTCCCCGTCGAGGAATGTTTCGAGAGTTGTGCCGTTTGCAGAACGGGGTGACGGGCGTGCGAAGCGCGGCGGGAGGATCTTTAACTTTCGCAAAGAGGCGGTGGGAATGTTGATGTGCGTGCGTCTGTGCGTCTGTGCGTCTGTGCGTGCGTTGCGCGAGCGAGCGGGGCGGTCGCTCCGGCCGGCTTTGTTCACGTGCTTCGGTGTCGCCGTGTTGGTTTTAGCACGTTGTTGTTGTCGTCGTCGTTTCGTTTGATGTCGTTTTGTAATTACAGTACAGTATATATATTTTTACAGATTTTTAGTGCCGTCGTCGCCGTGCGTCCGCTTCTCTCCGTTGAGCATTTTGAAAGAAAAACCTAAAATAAAATAAAAATGCCCCCCTTTGTGTGTTTAGGATTTTTATTCTTTAAATCGAGTTTTGGATTTCTGGAATGGTTCGATGTGTGCGTTTCTATCTCATCGCGTGTGTGCCTGTGTGACTGCCGCTGTGTAGAACTGTCCGCCTGTGTCTGTGCGACTGTGTTTCTGTCTGGGTCTGTGCGTCCGACTGTGTGTGTCAATCCCATGGTGCACCTGGGTTTGTCCCGGGACCTCCTGCCAGCGAGCCTTCAACACTTGACGTGGCCTCAAAGTGCACCTAGCCTGGCACAAGTGCCGTGGTGACGTCCCCCGCCACTTAGTGGCGAATGGCGGCTGTTGATGCTGTGTGACCTGCTTGACTCTGCCTCAAATGAATACCTGGTGCGGCGTGTAAACATCGCCACGAGGGAGACAAAGGCAGCATGGTGCTGGCCACCCACCCGCTCGTCCACTGTACCGGCCTTCATTGGTGCTTGCTGACCGCACTTGCCCCAAAAGTGTGTTAGGCTATACGGGGGATCTTTGTCTTTGTGACTTGGTAGAGCGGTGGTTAGCGCCCAACGCAATGAACCTAGCCACCCGAGTTCAATTCTCGTCCATGGCTAACATCGGTGGTGAAATATCTGAACCAATCCTGGGCCTCCCTGAGGTCAACTCGCTCTTATTTGGGTACCTGGAGCGGTGTGGACACATCAGTCCCGGGGAGACAAAGGTGGCATATCTGTCCACTATTTACTAGATATGTAATCACTCGTTGTTGATGTTGTTACACAATTGGTGTTTGTATTAACCAACTGTGTACCCGGTGATCCTGGTTTGGCTACACCACCTCATGTAATGTGATGGCCTTCACTGCTGTAACTCGCTTAACGGCACTTGCCAAAACAGCCTATGCATCTACACAACAATCTCTGTGTGTGTGTTTGTACGTTTACATTTTGACGCAGAGATCTTGGGTTTGAATCCAGGCGGTCTCGCCTGTGATTAACCTAGAGAGTTGCTGCCTCATCTGCCAGCTGTATAGGTCAAGAGGCAATTCGAAGAGGTCCTCGGAAAGCCGCTCTGTCATATCCGCATGCAGCCGCGCCAGACATCCGGACGAATTCTTCGACGGCCAAAAGCGGGGCGAAGAAAGTGAGAAAAAAGATGGCCAAAAATCTGACCAAGCAATATACAAAGAGTTCACTACTTTAGCCCTGCCGGTGTGTTGAAGAGTGAATTCAACATCATTTAAAATTTAGAGTATTATTTGGCCGTGTCGGGTGGTGGAGGGTTACGACACATTTATCAATAACGTGATCTAACCCAAAAACCTTTATTAATCAATAATATTAGTCGCGAAAGCCTCGTGTTAAATATACAAAGACACACCACGTGTCATCCTGTTTAAATACGAGTACTTTATTAAAGCAGTCGTCCCTAATCTCACAAGGTCGCACAGACAACAGTAGTTGTATTCTTACGATGCAGCACAGCACTGAATCTCAGCGGTGTGGCCTGCAGGCCGCCGCTCGCTACCAGCGGAGTCCCCGCCGACGTGCGGACCGGTACCACGTTCCCACGAGCAGCCCACGACGGTCAGTCGTCCGGTAACCACCTGGGGTGACAAACGCTACCGCTGTCCACCCATGGGCAGGAGAGCTTAGCGCCGTACATTCTTTCTGTTTTACAGACACCGCTTCCCATTCATTTTCATGTGCAATGTTTGGTATTACGTAAACATTTAATTCCGTACGATATTCCCGATCGGACAATAGCTACGTAGGGCACCCTTAAACAAAATGTTGAATACATATATAGCTACTGAAATAGCTACCACTGTGACCTTGCTATCGTATGCACGCATGATCTAGAGCTAAAAACGCTTCAAGATAATCATTTGTTAGCATTTGCCATGCTGGGTTGATTCCGTTGAGCCATATTTAAAGCAATATAAATCCGAGGATCAAAAACAATTATTCTCATCTCGAGGTTCGGTAACCCTTGCGCCGCATTCTCCCCAAATTGTTTATTTATTTATTTAGGTCGACTCGAGTCGGGCCGCGAACCACCCTGGGGTCCCTCTAGAACCACCACGTGGTCGTGGTCAGGTGGTACAGACTCCGCCGCGTCGGACTTCGTGCGGAGACGAAAGGCGTCGAATGGCGCCGCGTTCAAGAAACGTCGCAGGCGGGGGGGGGGGGGGCGGCACAAACGTTAAACTCGACTGTTCAAAGGCGTAGCAGTCGTAAGCTTTCGAGGAATAATATTATCCATAATAAAAGGGGTTTTATGGGGGTTAGAATCGTGTAAATATATCAATGTGCCGTTCAACCCTGCCACCACTCGACACAGCCAATTAGTAAGGTTTGTCTACGTGAACAAAACGTGATAAATCGTTACTGCATTAGCACAGCGGTGCATTGGAAAGTAAACCCCCGCGACGTTTCAACGTTGAGTCGGGTGGTGGTGGGTTTAACGACACATTTATATTGACGCGATCTAACCTTTAAAAAAATCTACTTTCATTATTATTATTACGGGCAAACTCGACTTTTTAATTTCGACATCTTGACCCCTCGAGACGCGCCCCGAGGGACATCTGGGCAAGCGGTGGAAACATCACGTCTGCAACCAACTTGAGTTGCCGCCTGTGTCAAGCCTCAGAGTTCTGGGAGAATTTGGGGGGGGCCGGGGGGGGGCAACTCGGGTCAACGCGAGGTGCAGTTCCATCCCCACCACCCTGCGCCCACGTTCCAGGGATGGACGGACAGACACGCAGAAGATTGCCCAACGAGCCCCAGGCAAAGGCGGCAGTAATTTCACGTCACCGTACATTGTGCAGTCTGCAGATGCCTCGCGCAGCCCCGTCTGCTACAAAGATTGCATCTCCATCTGCTAGAAACTAAAATTTAATACAAAAAATATTCCCCCACGTTTGTGAAAGTGACAGATCGATCTGATCTGTCACTTTCACAAAGGATGGAAATGCCCACTCTGATCTGCCACACCTCAAAAATATCCGGGACAGTCATCTCTGCTTGACGTCCTATTGACTAATGCCCCTCACAATTTCCCACTTACTGGTGTTCTGGGTAATAACCTTAGTGATTACTCCTTCATATTTAGGGTGAGATCGTCAGCCAGACCCAAAGCCTCCCCCCCCCTAAATTGGTTGATAAGCACTCCATGAGACACTTCAGCACACAGGCATTTACTAATGATGTGCTTCACTCGGATATTGACAAGGTCTGTGATATCCCCAACCTGACTACGGCTTGTGAGACCTTCAGGTTACACGTTTCTCCAAATTCTTAGCAAACATGCTCCGTTGGTTAGATTTAAAACTAAAGGCAACTCCCACCATGGTTTGATCCTTTGATTACTAAGCTCATGAAAACTAGGGACAAGGCTTGGGCATTTGCTCAGAAAAGTAATTTGGTCAAAGGCTGGCGAGAATACAGGATTTTAAGGCATACAAAAAATGCTTACTTTTCACATGGCAACGCCAGGATCTTCTGGAAAAAGTCAAATGTATCGAAAGGGCATCTAACACGGATAATCTGCCCGTTGCGCTTAACTGAAATGGGGACTATTTTTCAGAGCCACAAAAAGTAGTCGACAATTTGAACCATAATTTTTCTGAAGCTGGTGATCTTTTTAATAATGTATTGGGAGTCACCTCTGCTCATGCAATTTTCTACACGCCTGTCCAAACATTAAACGAATTTAGTTTCCAGCCTATCCACGAAAGTAATGTTGTGAAACAATTGTCCTACCTCAAAGGGTCCTCCTCTACCGGAGCGGATAGTATTCCCGTCTTTGCTCTGCTAACTGTTGGTCACATAATTTGTAAACCAAGAGCTGATATTTTCAACCTGTCCATCAAAGAAGCATCAGGATCTCTAGAATGGAAACATTCCTATATTCATCCACTTCACAAAGGGGGCCCTAAAGATGATCCAAATAACTACCGACCTATCTCAATCTTGTCCCCGTTGATGAAAATGTTAGAAAAATTATTGATCTACCAAATTACCAGTTTCCTGTCCGACAACAATCTCTTAAATCGAAACCAATCTGGGTTCCGAAAAAAATACAGCACCACATCTGCTGCATTAGACTCTCTGAATCACATTTACAGTAGCATTGATAATAAGCAGTACTGCGCCAGTCTTTTTCTTGACTTGTCCAAAGCCTTTGATACAGTAGACCACAACATCCTGCTTGGTAAACTAAGTTGCCTCTGTTTCTCCAAACACGCAGTAGAATGGTTACAAAATTACCTATTTTCTCGCACCCAAACTGTATCCATAGATGGCTGGAGGTCAAACAGTGCTAAGATAACAAAAGGGGTTCCACAGGGTTCCATTCTCGGCCCCCTCTTGTTCTCTCTTTATGTCAATAACTTGGGCACTGACCTGGATCATTCCAGGGTAAATCTTTTTGCAGATGACACGATACTGATTACTGCTGGCCGCTCTCCGGATGACGTGATTGCTAAGCTCCATGTTGATTTCAACAAACTACAACATCAGCTAGTTGCTCTTAAACTAGTCCTGAATACCTCCAAAACCAAGGTGTTATGCTTCTCACCAGGACTAAAGCAGGAAGTTATTTTTCCCCAATTACATACCTAAAATAATTATCAAATAGAGCAAGTCAAAATCTATAAGTATCTTGGGGTCATCCTTGATTCAAAACTGAATTTTCAAGATCAAATTGATTATATTGGTAAAAAGACAAAAATAAAAATTGGTTTTCTGTATCGACGCAAGCACTGCTTCCCCCCTATGTTCCATTTGGAATTGATAAAAGCTACCATACTGCCTCTATTTGATTACTGTGACATTGTATATAAATCAGCCCCAAGTACTGCTACTGAAGAAGCTTGACTCAATGTATCACTCGCCCTTAAGATTTGCATTGAACTGCCCATATAGGACTCACCACTGCAATCTCTACATTGGGTCAAACTTAACATCTCTCAATGTTAGACGGCTTGTGCATCAGATCGTATTTATTCATGATGTACTTACAAAAAAATCAGCA